ACCACTGGGGATCCAGCAACACTAATCTAATCCAGATATTTCTGCTGGCCCAGTACAAACCCTGCAACTGTAGAGAAAATCCTGCTTTTCTAAATCATTCCAACTATGACTTCTTTTTGAAGTGAAAATCAGGGTCAGAGATGCTCATTAGCGAGACTAAGCCTGGCAGTAAAGATGTGCTTCCCCCAGTGCAGGAGTGGGAATTGCTCCAGTGCTGGAACATGAGCTGCTTCCTGGAGCTGCCCAGTCCCTTGGGCCTGACTGCCTGTAGGCAGTCTGTGTTTCAGGCTCTTCTTCTGGAAACACAGCCACTGTTCCCTCTGAAACCCTAAACTGTAGTATTTTGTGGCTGTGGCTTTGCCCAGAATTGACATTTACAGGGGAACATAAACAAAATCAGTTCAAGAGCTTCTCCCTATCTCTTCTGGAGATAAAAAGTTTCTTCTCAAAGGGAAGAGTCTTCACAGGGAACTTGCACGGGTTCATCTGAAACCCTAATTTGGGGGCACAGCTTGAAGGCTGTCATGGCAGAACTGCAAACAATTTGAAAGCACAATTGATTGCAAAGGTTGACTGTACATTCCGTGGCAGGTTGTTTTCCTCACTATTAATAAGCTCTAACCATTCCCTGTTAGGTATAACCACAGCTTTATTTGATTTAAACATCAGAGAACACTATCCAAGATGAAATTCAAGAGCAGATCCTACAGTCCCAGCGATTCCCCTGGGATATGTATTTACCTTTGCACAGACAGGGTCTGTGGCTGACTGACACAGTAAATGAGAACACAGTGATGGAAAAAACACAGCTGTGTTTATTCCAACAACTTGTCCCCTGGCACACCAACCTCTGCCTCAATAAGCAACTGTGTGTGTGTCAGTGGCTGAGCTTTCTAGGCCTTCAGCAAGTCTGGAAATACCACAAGCAAACAGACAGAGTGTTTCTAGCTTAGGTTCAGAGATGTGTCTTAGTCTGGGGTGGAGAATAGTATCTGCCTCTTCTACTCCAGCTTCACTGTGAGCTTAAGGCAAAGCAAATATGTGCAGGTACATCAACCTGCTCATCCCACCTGTGGCTCCCCGAAAGGAAGGAGTGCAGCACAAACACTTAATTCCTGCTCTCTCTCAGACAGCAGATCTCTCAAACAGGAGGGCTGTTTCTCTCCCAGAATGCTGAATATGCAGGTCATTTCCATGTGTGAGGGAATCTGGATTGTGAAATCTAAACAGAATTATGGGCTGTAATTATTATATAGAAGGAAGTTAAATTGCAAATAAGCCTGAAAACTTATCTGTACATTAAGCAATCAGACTAATAGGGGTTAATATGCACCAAAGATTAGATTTGCAAGTTCAATGTGTATGTAACCAACCAGTTTTTCCAGGAAAAGAAAATAAGTTGTGAAGGTGACTTGCAAAATATGTCTGAATCTAATAAATATGCATGAGTACAGTGCTACTGACCATAAAAGGATATGAGGTAACAGAAGGAAATCCAAGAGCAAGTTTAAATAGAAAAAAAAAAAATCTAACATCCTAATTAAACTAGTCTGGATGCTAGTTCTCCCCAAGACTGAAGCCTGAGTCCTTATTCACCATGACATGGTTTCCACTGTAATCTTCCCAATTTTTTTATTCAATTTCTCCTGTAATAAGAAATCTTGACTTCTGTACTTTGTCTGCTTACAGTTTTAATGTTCTTGAATGCTGTCACCCTTCAAAAGAATTTCAGCAAAGGCAAATAGGAACTAGGGCTGGGGAGATGATAAATCTCAGCCTGCAGCACTGCAATATTTGATAATCCCTGTAGTCCAAAATCCTGCTTTAAATCTGCAGTCCTTCATATTCTGTCCAAGTGATGTGCTGTCACAAAACCTTTATGTTTCATGAAGACTGGGGAATGGGAAGGCACTCTCCTATCTGTCCAAATAGAAAATATAATTATACAAAAGCAGCTGAACCCTATCTTGGCTCAACCTCAGCTCCTTTTCTAGACAACTGGAGAACTCAATCACATGCGGTTGCTGATCAAAGTCCTTGAAAGTAGACCAGGTTTTTAATGTAGACTCCTCTCCAAAATCCCCAGAACCCAAATTATCTACACAGGAAGAAGTGGGATTTTTAATGTATGTTGTACTTGAGCACAAATGAGTTATGTTCTTCCAGTGCATTTTGGGAGAACTTCGTTGTTCTGCATTATGGAGTTTCTAATTTTAATACAGATTAGCATTGGCTAATTCAAATAATCCAGTCTTTGATGTCCAGAGCAGTAAACTTCCACCAACCCTATGCAACATTAGCAAAAATTATTTAAAGAAAAGCTCCTTAGGTGACTCTAAACCATCTTTCCCAACAGCATATTGACAATACAATTATTATCACTCTGTAGTGCCCTCCACCAGAGATTCTCACTCACAACAGCTCTATGTGTTCAGTGTGAACTTTTATATTATTCAGTGTGAACTTTTCCTCTCCACTCTCACCTGCAACTGAGCAGTTATTATTCCTCTTTTTAAGCAAAAGGCACCATGGTTGAGAGAAGCTGAGAGCTCCACTCAGGATCACACAGCAAGGCAATGGTAAAACTAGATTTACAACACGAAGCTGAGTCAGACTCTTCTAAACCACACTCCCCCCAAACCATTTATTCAGCTATGGTATGAAGTTCAAATCATTAACGTTCCTGGGAAGAAAGGACTTCTTTTAATCCCTCAACTAATTCCTCTGTTTGTGTGTGTATCTAAATGTGTGTTTGCGTGTACAGATTTACAACAGGTTTAACACAAAACTGTGACTCTGTTTGCTGGGCATGTGCAAATACGGGGTATGTGGTATCATGTTGGCAGGGTGACTATCTACTGGTTTTAAATAACCAGGTCGGGCTGTAGTGACTGTGCAAAGCCATGTCACTGCCTGAGGGCACAGCTGCTGACTCACCTGGAGCACAGCACATACCTGCAACAGGCAGGTGTGTTCAGGTGGATGAGTGAACGCATGCCCGTATCTCTAATCACCTTCTCCCCACCCTCAGCAAGCTCAGCTCAGCTTCCTGCTGCACAAACTCTGTGCTCTGACATCCTTCTGAGTACACTCTGTTTGCATCAGGGCTGTAGAGTGAGCAGCCAGAAGGCCTGGAAGGCTTCCTCTAGCAGGGTCACCTTGTTGGCTGTTATTACCTGTGCATAATAATGACAAAGAGGGCTTCTGAGGTGGGGGGAGAGGTGTGGGGAGCCGAGTTTAGTTATAGGACAAAAGAACAGCCATAAAGCTGTCACATCATCACTCTGTCCTGCCAGGAACTGCTGGGCCCCTTCCTGAATGTGATTGCAACATCATTGCATCAGTGATGGATTCAGTCACTATATGGCTTTTTTTTCTAGTTAGATCAAAATATCTACTCCAAATATCTATTCTGTACCCTGCTACCTTGGCTCATGTGCTCATTCTGGCTCTCTGTGGTGTTACACACACGGAAATGACCACACCCACACCCACGTAGGTACAAAAGCAGGCCAGGAAGGTGGTGTCTGCCACTGATGCATATAACTTAGGCTCTGTTAACACAATTAATTGTTTTCAGGCATAATTGTCTTTATCAGCTCTGCTAACAGTAGTAGTAATTGGGGAGCTGCTGGTCCTCAGGGTTACCACACAGTGCCTACTACAGAGTTGGTGACTTGACTGATATAAATCAGAAAAACAAAATGTATGATGTTTTAATTGATGCAGTTTTTGCTACATTACATTTCAAAAGCATTTAAATTCACCATGAAATACATCTTTGACAGATTATTTATTGGCCTTTGCTCTTGAAGAAGAAAGTGCTTAATGTAGACAAAACGACCTAGCACCAAAACTTGGCAATATAAGATTTTAAGCTATTTTTAACCTAAATAGCAATTCAGCCTAGGCTTGAGAACAATAACGCAATCACCCTATTGAGATGTACTCTAGCCAAGCCCCAAACTGGTAAGGAAATGCAAGTTAAATAATTCTACTGACTTTCCTTCTGAATTTACAGCTGTGGAGTTGTGAACAAAGGGAGGACAAGAGTGCCTACAACACTTCCAGGCAGGAGCACTGGGAATGGTGGGGATGGTGATGTCCAACACCCGCCATCCTTGAGTGCTGTGTCCGGTTCTGGGCCACTCGGTTCAAGAAGGACATTGAGGTGCTGGAGTGAGTCCAAAGAAGGGAATGGAGCTGGGGAAGGGTCTGGAGCAGCAGGAATGGCTGAAGGAGCTGGGGAGGCTCAGCCTGGAGAAAAGGAGGCTCAGGGGGGACCTTCTGTGTCTCTGAACTCCCTGACAGGAGGAGGGAGCCGGGGGGGGGGAAATGGGGGGTGAGTGGGCTCTGCTCCCAGGGAACAAGGGACAGGACAAGAGGAAATGGCCTCAAATTGTGCCAGGGGAGGTTTAGGTTGGACATCAGGAGGAATTTCTTCATGGAAAGGGTGATTAGGTATTGGAATAGGCAGCCCAGGGAGGTGGTGGAGTCACTGTCCCTGGAAGTGTTTATGGAAAGACTGGACAAAGCAGTTAGTGCCGTGGGCTGGTTGACAAGATGGGGATCGGTCACAGGTTGGACTCGATGATCTCAGAGGTCTTTCCCAACCTAACCGTGACCCTGCGATCCCTCGGGACTCCAAGCACCTCGAGCTCATCACATGAGGCGGCGCACAAAGCTCGCTCAGTGCGGGGCTCTGCCCGGCTTTGCCCCCAGGGGCTGCGCTGTGCCCTTGGCGGGGCTTCGCCCCAGAAACCTCTCACAAGGGCTTCACCCCACAGACCCCCCCAACAGGGGCTTCACCCCGGAAACCCCTCACAGGAGCTTCACCCCACACACCCCTCACAGGGGCTCCCCGTTGCCTCCCTGGGCCCCCTTTGGTTCCGTCCCCCCGCCCGCCCCCCGCGGTCCGCCCCGCCCCCCCAGCAGGGGGCGCTGAGGGCGGTGCCCGCGGGGCCGGGGCGAGAGCGCGGCGGCACTTCCGGTGTGAGGCGGGAGCGGGGCCGGGATCGGGAACGGGAGCGGGAGAGGGAGCGGGGAGGGATCGGGATCGGGGCCGCGATGGCGCTGGACGTGCGGCGCCTGGAGGCGCTGAGCCTGCAGGAGCTCAGCGCGCTGCTGGACGACGAGGAGCAGCTGCAGGACATGGCCCGCGAGATGGAAGAGGTGAGGGGCTGTGAGGGGCTGCCTCATAAACCCCCCGGCCGCGGCCTCTCCCCGGGTCACCCCCTCAGCCCGCCGGGGCCCCGGGACCACTCGGTGTTTGGAGGCTGGTAAATGACTCCCCGCTCCCAGAGCTGCCGGGTGCGTGAGGAGCCCCCGGGGCTGCGGGAAGCGCTGCCGGCCCCTTCCCTGCCTCCCCTTTCCCTGCCTCCCCTTTCCCTGCCTCCCCTTTCCCTGCCTCCCCTTTCCCTGCCTCCCCTTTCCCTGCCTCTCCCTTCCCTGCCGGCCCCTTCCCTTCCCTTCCCTGCCTCCCCTTTCCCTGCCGGCCCCTTTTTCCCTGCCGGCCTTTTGTTCCCTGCCCCGCCGTGGGGCGATCGGTGCCCACCGGGTGCCAGAGGAGGGGTGAGGGTGCTCCCCAGGCTGAAAACGCTGAATTAAATTAATTATTGAGGGCCGGAGATGGGTTCAGCTTTTCCATCCGTCCAGCCCTGGGTTTGCGCCTTGGGTTTTGTCAGGGTGAATTCAAAGCAATGTGAAAGAGGTTTCTGTGTGCCCCGGGCTTTTCTCCTCCTTGCTTTGCCTTTTGCACAGGTCGAAGTCCCTTTGTCAGTGTATCTGACTCTAAGTCGTGCTTTTGAATCTGGCCTTCTCAGAATAGAAGCCTGTTTTCTTCCCCCCGCTGTGGTTGTCGTTAACGAGTTTTTCCTGTGTGACAGTGTTGCAGTTGTGATAGGAGACTGTTCTGGGTTTATTTGGCCACAGATGTGCCTGAAAGGCTCTCTCTGTGTGGTCAGCTAACAGCAAAGAAGATGAAACCATTTCTATGAAAACTTTAAAAGAAACAAATGTGCTGTGCTTCTCTGGGTCTTGTATTTATTGGTTTTGTTGGTTAAAATTTGAGGACAAAAGCCCCAGGGAAAAAAAAAAAGGGGGGGGCAATGTGTTCTTGAGAAAGAAGCTTAGTTTATTAAGTAAAATCAGTTATAATTGTGTTCCCTCAAACTAAGATTCCTTTTGGTACTTCTGAGGAAGTTGTTCTGGATCCCCTCAAGCCAAATTGTCAAGGTATTGCAGATGGAGAGGCCTAGTGAAGGCTGAGGCCAAGTTAAGGAGGTGTCCTGGGGAATTTACTGGCTGTATTATGCAACAATTTATATTTTGAACCTTGTGTCAATAGATTTGTGAGAGGGGGCCAGGCAGAATAGTTTATATTCTGAGAACTTGGAAGAAACAGGCACTGCTGTGGTGAGTAAAACATGCAGAGACCTCGGAGGCCCTGTGGTTTGCTGGGGGCAGGAGAACCCTGCTCTATAAAAACTATTTCAGGAGAGCCAGTGGGTTATAATGGGCTTAAGTTTGTAAAGATATAAACGGGGGCAGCACTGCTGGTTTCAGTGTGACCTCTGACAAGGGACAGGAGCACAAAGCTTGGCTCAGTGGGCTCTTTTTTATTATTTATTTGTCAATGTGCACTGTAGACTGTAGGTCAGAAGTGTCAGAAAACCTCATGACCTCAGTAGGAAAGATCCTCTCTCACACGTGAGCACAACCAGCCCATATTCTCAGTTTGACCCTCCGTTTTTCCTCTTTGGTTGGCATCAGAAGGGCTCTAAATTGTAGAGTAAAGTTCTCTGGGCCCCCAGGGAATATTTTGTGGTGTTTGGAGAGTGTGGGGTTTGGAGGTGCTCAGGCTGTGTGGAAATATGGCTGTGCTGCTGTCTGGCATAATCCTCTTTTATTGGATGTGGAGGCTTTTACTGGAGTATGTTCAACTAGAAATGTGTTTACTCACCTTGGAAAGAATTGGCCATGCTTGAATATTTCTTCCTCATTCTGTTCTTGCCTTCACTGAATTGTTTAGTGCCTGAGCTTGTGCTGCTGAGACCTGATTTTTCACTGTGGCAGGAAGAGGGAGAGAGGGAAATCCTGAGCATTAAGGAGGAACCATGGTGACTTCACTGCTCCTTGGCTGTCAATCCCTATGTATCTGTGTTGTAGGGTTATTCCAGAGTCCTTAAATTCCTAATTTTACTGTGAGATGCCAATTAAATCACGATTCCTGAGTCACTTCTATGAGGTCACTTGTATTTTTAGTGGCGAAGTTGGCTAAAGCTGATTATTCCATAATTGAAAAAAACCTTTGTTCTCCTCGTTGCAGGGGAAACCCAGCTCAAACCCCAGTGTTTTGTTCACAAAGAGGAGGATTTGGAAAACCTCTCAGCTTTCTTGCTAATAGCTAAAAATAGGCACTTCCAGCCTTAAAGGGAATGTATTCCTGTGTGGCATTTGAGCAGGATTTGTGTGTGTGTATCTGTATCTGTGTGTGCCCACTCACACATTCCCATTTCTAGGGTGATGTGCACGTGCAGTGCCCTGCACCTGTGTCCTCAGGTGTGTGACACTGTGGCTTCAGAGCTTAGCTGCTGCTTTTCCTGCCTCTGATGTTGGTTTTGCAGCCTCTGGGCTTTTAGTGCTTGAACAACAAGCATCTTGTCTGTTAGAAAGAGGAAGGAAGCCAGTTGTCTGGTACTCCCAGTCTTTTAAAATTGAGGAGGGCTTTTTTTTTTTTTATAACCCTTTCAGGGTAATCTCTGTAGTACATCTGCAGTATTCATCTTCATGAGATAGAGAATCACAGTTTGGGTTGGAAGGGACCTGAAAGATCATTTAGTTCCAAACCCCCTGCCAGGCAGGGTCATAAAAGTACCTTGTTTATAAAAGTGAATGTCAATGTGAAAACTCTAAAAAGCACAGATGAGAGAATTTGTGACCTGACACTGGTGGTAATTTGGTGAATTTCTCTGTGAAAACAAGTTATTTTTTTATCTCCTGGAGCATCCCTTTTTGTAACAGTGCAGCATTGTGTTACTGACTGCTGAGGTTCCACTGCCAAAAATTGTTCACTCTTCAATACCTTAATGATATGAAATCAAGAAGTCAGCCTTCCTCTCGTTCCAGAATTTCAGAGTACACTGGCAAGCACAGAAGGGATTTTTGAGCATAGACCTTTTCTCAAAAACTGATTGAAAAGATCAGGCAGGGCAGAAAGTCCAAGTTAAACTCTGTGTATTCGTGCCCAGATTTCTTGGATTCCCACTCCTGTCCTAAAACCACATTGTGCCAGTGGTTATGTTCTTGTTGGCCAAACATGAAATTTAGTTGCAAAGTTAGGAATTAGTTTTGGTGACAACTATAGATTTTTCTCTTCCAGCTGAGCATCAAATGAGTAATCTGCCTGTGTCTGATGAGTGCAAATTGCAGGGCTGGGTGTCTGTTCCCTCTGCAAGAAATGTTTAGGAACTGCAACTCACCCTCTAAGCTTCATTTTGTCATTTTTTAAAGCTAACACTTAAGCGCTCAGAAGAGCTAAATTTAGCCTATCTAATTACTTTGCAACATGCTTTAATATTTATTGCAGAACACATGTTGGTAGGGGGTGTGTTATTCACCAGTCCATGATGAAAAAGCACCGTTAAATCTTCTTCTGTAAAAGAAGTCTCTCTTCTCCTACTCTGCACCTGTCAGCTCCTGTTTCAGGGGTTAATTTGACACTCCAAATGTGCATCCTTCTACTCCTGCAGTGTGACTGCGTATTTCATTCCTGAGTTACGAGTATGTGTAAGTGAAAGAGAATGTGGGAATGATAAAGGTTAGAGAAACCTAAACCTAACGTGGATGTGTCCTGTGTATAAAGCAATTAAAACAGTGCCACACAAAGCTGCTTTTATTTATAGCTCCTTAAGAGACTTTTTCTCGAAGGTACCAAGAGACTCCTCGCTGTGTTACTGGCTGAGGAAGCTTATAATTATAGCAGCACTTGCTGGACTTTGTGGGATTGTAGTTGGGATTGCAGTTGCTCAGTGTCCCAGGACTCAGTTCTGGGAATGTGCTTTTGGGTGAACCAGAGTGACCTTTCTCAGCATTTTACACAAATAATTGTTACTGCAAACCATTATTTTGGTGTAAATGATAAACGTTTATAGTACAAATGTTACTAAGCTGGTACTAGTTCTGCTTTAATTTTACCCATCATTTATCTTCCTTTTCTAAAAGTGAGATGAAACAAGGCTGCAGCTGATGGAAGTAGTAGAATCTCAGTGCCCAGAAAAGTTGCTGTTGCCTGTTCTTGGAAGTGCTTATTAAATAAATCCTTGAGTAAAATTATTCAAATTACTTCTGTGAAAGAAACTCATTTTTTAAGCAGCTTAAGTTTTGAAGTCCTGCATAAACCATGATTTTTGTCTTTTATAACCTCTGTGTGTCCATGGCTTCATTTTCTTGCAGCGTGCAGTTGGGTATGAGTTCTCTGCTCAGTGGTGAGCCATCCTTGTGCCATGAAAATCCTGTTACAATCAGCTCAGTATTGTTGCCCCATTTGTCCCATTCAGAATTCATAGTGAGAGCTTAGCAGTTAAAAAAAGAAAGTGTATCTTCTCTTTAATATTGTCCTGTCTCATTGTGTCTCGTGATTCTGACTGGTATTTCTCATCTGGTTTCAGATTAGTGTTTCCTGCCTGGTGAAGTGCTCACGACCTCAAGAGTCTTACTAGGAATTCTGCTGGAGTCCCATGCTCCTGGCTGATTTCTCTTAATAACTTTTTTCCTTGCACTTCCAGTGTGCAGGTGAACATCCAGTGCAGGAGCAGTTCCCTGCTAACATACATTTTTGTCATAGGGCACATCTGACAGCAAAATAGCATCTTTTGGATTTACTCCTTCCTCAGCTTTTGTCTTAGGCTTGTGGGAAGCTGTGAAGGGATGCTGAAAGCCTGCTTTGTGCAGCACTGATAATCTTAATAGACTGTTCATGCTGTACTGTGGCTTTGACCCTTGGATGATTTTGCAACTGTTTTATTTTTGTTTTGTTTTAAATTAGTCATCATTTCTTGAAAGTTTTTCTACAGTGCTCTTTAGGCAAATTTTACAGTATTTGCTTTCTGATTCCTTGAATTAACTTCCAAATGCAGGGGAACAGATGCTGGAAAGCTTCCTACACAGACCTTAACATCAGTGCCAGAGATTATTCTGGTTTGTAGAATCCTGACTGTGTTCAAGTTGCTTTGCTGTGGGATTATATCTGTTCTGTTTGCTGTGAAATAAAACTCACTTGTCCCACAGACTTCAAAATTCTTTCAGAGATGTGAAATATTTAAATGTTCTGAACAGGTGGACGAGTCTTCACCAGCTCTTCAAGTTTCATTAAGCATCATTCCTAAGTTTACTTTGTGTTTGAGGAACTGGTTCTTCTCATGGTTTTGGGTAAGATTTGAGTTTCTCATCTCTCCAAGTGTCCATTGTTAGAAGACATTTGACACAGACTAATGCTGGAAGTGAAGACTTCAGGAGTGACACTTGAATTCATTATTAAATGTCAATAGTGGTTTTGTTCAACTCCTGTTAAAAAAAAAAGTGCCCTTCTTAGAACTGCTGAAATATGGGAAAAGTTGAGTCATTTAGTCCTGTGTCATTTCAAGCACTATAACTTAAAGTGCAATTATGAATAACTTCTTTTAGTTTAAAACAAGTATTTTTAAGGCTTTTGCTAAAGTTTACACTAGTACATAATTACTAGATCCCAGATGCAAAGGACAGGACAGGATGTCACTCTGCCTTAGATGGAGGTAGGTCATATTAGTCATATTTTCCTTGTTTATACAAGTCAGATACATTATGTCATACTGATATTTATTCATCTTTACAATTTGAAATGATTTAAAAATAAAAGTTATTCAGCAAATCATTATAGAACATAAGGCATTTTCTTCCTACTCCTCTCTAGTCCTGTTGAGAGACATTTTGAGGAGACATCAGGTCCTCCTTCTCCTCTTTACTGTGTATGATTTCAGTGGAAGCTTCCTTCTCCTGGGATTTGTGCCCTTGAAAGGTTTATAGGTTTGTGTGCACTGGCTTTTTTCTCTCCTGAGTAAATGTTTGTCTTCTTCATCCTAAAAGAGAGATCAAAGTTCACTCATTAAACTGGTCTTCTTCCCACACTGACTCTGCACCTTTGAAATGAGAATTATCAGCCTTGCAAGCAGTGAAAATACAACCACCAGAGCAAACTGGAGTCACTGGGAGGAAGTAGTGAACTCATTAAAATGGTGAAAAAGGCACCAGAAACCATCAGTCTTTTTGCACACAATCTTCCTTGGCTGGCAGTGGTGGTGACAGGTGTTTGGGAAGAAGCTGGATGCCAGTCATTAAGCTGTTCAATCCTGTATGTTTTAATTCTCTTCATAATTGTTTGAAAAAATGTAAATTTTTTCAGCTTTCCGAAAGCAACAGTCTTATCAGGATTGGATCATATGAGAATAAACAAATGGAAACCAGTTTAATTTATTTTGCATTGGATTCAAAAGTAAGAAGAGGGGATTTTCCTTTGATTCTTGGAGAGGGTTTAAATTGAACATGAGCATAGGACTGGAAGTTTATTTAGGCTCGATGTGAGAACCTTTAGAAGACAAAACAATATCGAGAGAATAATTTCTGATTTTCACAATTTGGAGTAGAATTTTGGTTGCTGTAGAATTTAGGACTTAACATTATCCTTGCCTTGACTTTTTTAAAGTGGTTTGGCAAAAACAGGGTGAAAGAGAGTAAAACTTGGGTATTTGAAGAGCAGTATCTGGGGGCAAAGGTGTGTTTAAGTAGCACTGAACCAATTTGGAATTTAGCAAGTTAAAGTAGTGTGTAAATATTTCAAAAGGAAGTAATTGTTTTCAAAGAGAGTTGCTATGCTTGGAAAAACACCTGAATTTTGATCCTGTCCTTTTCTGGGGCTTTTAAACGGCTCATTTGGGTTTCCTCTTTTCCTGTTTCTGAGGTGTGGCTCTGTATCCACCCAGGAGTGTGGAAGGAGAAAGCCCCTGGTGTTTGCACTGACTGATGTGCAAGGTCTGTAAATGGGATCTGTTGGAGTTAAACAGGGATAAGGTGGGGTGGAAGGGACATATTGATGGAGGAGGTCACAAAAAGGGTACCAGAAATTTTGTTGGTTTTTGAAGGCAGCTTAATAGAGTTATGTTATGCCATGGGAAGACTGTTCTACTTGTTGATTCAGACTGAAAATCTGAAATCAGATCCCTTGGTTTTTGGTTTCTTTCCCTTTTGATGTCTGAATATTTTAATGAATCAAATGTGACACCCGGGACAGAGTTCCCCAAACACTCGGCTTTCCCAAAGCTCCTGAAGAATGTCTTGATAAAATCCTGTGCCTGTGGGAGTGTGAGCAAACGGGAATCTGGCTGAATCCTGAACTTGTGACAATTGTCAGTTGTTCCTTAGGAATAATGTCTTAAGGCTAGGAAATGTTAAGCAGAAGGAATAAACAAAAGAAAAAGAAGATTTTGACATTAATCCAGGGTTGGTTCAACACAGTTGGGGGAAGAATATTCTGGAGAAGGAACAGTTGCAGTCTTTGTTATTTGCATGTTAACAAGATAAGGGGTGACATTCTGCTGCAGTCATTGCATCTCACTGCTGGAATTCAGATCTTTTTAGAGAGCAACTGTTGCTTTATCTGTCAGTGTTCATCATTTGGTCATCGTTTGCAGGTTCAATACCACAGCGCTAATTTTTACTTTTGTTTTTTATTTAAAAGTTTTCAAATTTTTTTGTTGTCCTGCTTAATAATTTCACTGTTGTTTCAGGCACTTCTTAAAATATTTATTTCTTTCCAGGCCCAAAATGTTCAGCACAGCAAGGACATGACTCTCGCCAGCAACCGCAGTCTGGCAGAAGGAAATCTCCTGTACCAGCCAAAGTTGGAGTCTTTGAAATCAAATTTGACTGAAAAATATCAAGAGTTGCAAGTTCTTTTTGAAGCATACCAGATAAAGAAAACAAAACTAGGTAACACTTGCTGTTGACAATTATGATTTGCTGTTTTCTAAGTGAATGTAAATCTGTTGCCTGTTTGTTGTTTGGTTTTTGGTGTCTCATTTTTATCTGTGTGAATTAGGGTACAAAGTGAAATGTCACTCTTGTGTAGTTCTGAACTAGATCACACTTATTATGATTTATTAATTGTCTGTTACACCTAGTGACAGATACTGTGGATTCTGTCTGCTACTGTGTGGTTACCTACCTGTTCTTGACCTGCTCTTCCCTAATGATTAGATTCTTTTACCGTGCTAAAAACACAAGTTGAATTTTCAGTGACTAATCATAAATCAAACAGAATATTGCATTGACCTTTCAGTTCATACTGAATCATGAAGTATTGCATATCTGATTCTGCACTTGCTGAAGTGCTTTGGCTTTCAATATTATAAATGTATCATTGTAATTAAATGTCAGCTTTTAGCACTCTGACAATATTCTGACAATATTCTTACTCTATCTCTTACTGTAGAACACCCTGTCTAGAACAAGGAGCCTGCTGCTTGTACATATGTGCCTCAGAGATTGTTGTGCTGTCTGGGGCTGTAGTTATAAGACACTTAGAGGCAGCTATCATTTTCTGTTCTTTCCATGCCATTACAGACAGACAATCCAGCAATGCTTCCCTGGAGACCCTACTGGCTCTGCTGCAGACCGAGGGGGCAAAGATTGAGGAAGACACAGAGGTAACGACAGAACACTCCAATTCTGCCACTTACACCCATAACTGAACCTCCCAGAGTCCATTCCTGCAGTGCAGAGTTTAGCATGGTGTACACTAAGGGATATTTATAAGAATATGGTCTGGTCTTTGCTTTGAACTTCAGTGAGCAGCCATTCAGTTCCAGTGATTTTTTTTTTATCAGAGTGATTTTTTTACTCTTAACATCTTTGAAATTTGAGAGAGAAGATGCTCCCTTTTAGAAAAGAAAGCCAAACTCTCTTAGTTCCTTGGCTTTGCCTTCAAACTCATCGTGTATACAAATGGAATCTCTTTTAATGGTGTTTGCCTGGTATCTGTATTACTTCATTATAAATGTCAATTAGTAGCCTAATAAAAAACTGTGCCTGCACTGTTTTTTTTGCAGCATTTCGGATGAAATATTCCATTAGGATTTCTGCACGTCTGTGCAGGTGCCAGTGGTCACCACTTGCTGTGATACCAGTGCTTGAAGGGTGGTCTAACTTCAGAATAATGGGAGTGCTTGGCTTTGCTTCTGATTTGCCTGCAGGCATTTTCTGTAACTATATCAGGGGGAAAAATCTGTTTATTAACCTTGAGTTGTGATCACGAAAAGACATTCCCAGGACAGGTTGGATTTTGTGATTATATGTTTGTTCACCTCTCAATTATTAAACATCATTTACTCAAAGCCACAAGTAAGGGTGAGTATTAAACCTGACTTAGCAATAATCTGCCTCTCTGTGCTGAGCCTCACAGAGTTCTCAGTGTTTCTGTTGGCACTGAAGCAGCACTGAACTGTAATTCAGCTTAGCTGGCAATCTGGAAAGCTGTTGGCCTTGCTTCGTTCCCATCTCTGATGATCAGGGAATGCTCACAGTGAGATTCAGATGTTTTTACTGCTGTTACTTCGGTATAAATTTATGCAAAAGTGGTATTTAACTCCCAGTGCTTCTGAGTAATAACGAACTCAAAGTTCTGCTCAGAATTCTTAGTGTGCCAGTCATCTTCCATATGCCAGCTGGAAAATCACAGGCAAAACGCTGCTATTTTTAGGATGTGAGCCATTTAGATTCTGTTGCAGTGCTCTGTTTTCTAAGAGATTGTTCCGTATTTGACAGAACATGGCAGAAAAATTCCTTGATGGTGAAATACCACTGGATTCCTTCATTGATGAGTACCAGAGCAAGAGGAAACTGGCTCACCTGCGCCGGGTAAAGATTGAGAAGCTCCAAGAAATGGTGCTGAAGGGACAGAGACTTCCTCAGGTTCAGCCTCCAGCTCAGCCCAGAGCGCCCGAGACAACACCAGCACCTCAAGATTCCTACAAGCCGGATGCAAACACTCCTCCTTCCGTTGTGCCCCGACGGATACCACCCCCCCCACCCTCCTCAGTCCCAGCAGGACGCTTCCCTACTCCGTTTACCGCAGCCATGAGCTCAGGACCAGCTCTTTCTTATCCAGGTGCTCCGTACCCGCCTCTCCCGCCTCGCCCAGGGGATGTTCAGCCCACAAGTCAAATGCCACAGCCAGGATACCCATCTCAGTTTGTACCACAGTACCCTCCAGCTCTTCCCCAAAGACCACCTCGCGTTCCGCCACATCCTGGCTTTATCCTCCAGTAAATATTCCGGTGCGCCTGACTTATTGTATTGGTGCTTATATTTCCTTTTCCCCCCCATCAGAGACTTGCTGTAGCAATGGGAAGCCTCTGTTCTTTGCACGATGGAGTACAAAGGCCGAGCTGTGGCACAGAGGTTTGCAATTGCTTTGGTAAATGTGATGGTGTTTGTGTTCAAAGGTCAGTGATGACAAGGTTTTCCTGGGAAGGTGAGAGGGTCTAAATTTTATAAATCCATCGAATGGGGAAGCCGCCTGTGGTGGGTTTCCTGACCTTACCAACCGAGTCACGCTCTGAATTCTTTAGTGATGGTAAATCAGCATCCTCTTCTGCTCTGGTGTGTTCCCATCACAGCTGGATGTATGTGTGGCAAATGGGAGCTGGGCAAGGGGCGTGCACTGGGTCTCCTTGACATCCTTTTGCATTCAGGGCCAGGTGCACAACGTTCTCAGAGCTCACTGAGCTGCAACTCTTGTCAGAACACGGTGGGTGGTTTTTAGACAGGGAAAACTACAAGAGTTTCATTTCTGCATTTCAGTTGTTACCTTAGAGTTCTTGTAATCAGAGTAGGCACTCCTTCCACTCCTGAACAGCTCGATACCCTCAAAGTCCTGGTCTCTTGAAATGAAACTAAACTGTTTGTAGAGCCAGTTTAGAGTTTTATAGACACTTTACCAGGCAGTTTTATTTCCTTGCCTGTTAAGACTTTTTCTTACAGTTGTTTTTTTTCTCCTTTTCCACACCTTGGATACACAAGTGATTTTTTTACACAGGTGCTTAGCTTTTGATATCATGTGATTCCAGGAATCTAGGCAGGGTATTTTCTTAATCAAATACTGGATTTTCACATGTAATTGCCCACTTGAAGATTCACAATTTCATTTTATCCCTTAACTCTGTCTCTCACTTAACAAAACTATTTTTAACTTCCCATTTCCTTTAGTTGTGCAGTTTTGGGCATGTGTATCCATCTGGAATTTGCAGGGAACGTTCCTCTGCAAGTAGGCAAAACAGAAAAACTTTATGAACTCCACGGTGGCTGTTTGCATCTTACAGGATCTGTTCTTGACTTATGCCACTGGAGAGGAGGCATTTTAGGACAGCTCACATTTCACTCTCAGTGTGATTCTTGAAGCCTAAGGTGCAGACGTGTGCTGGTATTTTAATCCAGCACTGGGGGAGGCAAATCTTAACACTTGTTGTTTGCACAGAATGTGTCTGTGAATTTGTTATCAATCAGTCCAGAATCTGTCATAGCCCCTGGTTATTTCAGAGCATTTTGGTATCACTGTCCTGGAATGCACTACATTGTTTGGAAGTTTGTACTACAAACAACACCAGTCAGAATAGAATATTTATTTTTTTTCTTTACATAAGGCCCTGAACTGTCCCTTAATCATTTCCTCTGGAGTGTGGTGCTTAGCAAATACTAATCTGAAATTAAACTCATAACAGGAAGCTCTCGATTCTGAAAATATGATCATTTGACTTGTTTTGCCTTCTGAAGACAAAGGGCAGAAGGTTGGTCAGTGTTATTGGCATCTGAACCAATTCCCCAGTGTAAGTCTGGCAAGTTTTTATAGATGGGGGATTTTGTGAAGCAACGTGCATTGGATTTGTTTGCTAAGTGTGTTTTTTCTGTAATCTAGTGATGGTACAGGATGTGTTTTTTTTTTAAAAATAGTGTAATATCTTTACTTGGTATTATTTTCTCACTGAAGCTTTGTATGAGCATGGTTAATTATGACTCGTTTCAAAGTAATTTTGCTGTGCTTTTAGTGCTGGTATTTGGATGGCAGCTGTTGTGTCTGGATCCTAAACATAAGTCTGCTGTAGAAATGGTTTGTGTCCTGGAAAGAATTAAAGTGGATGGGGGCTACCAGAGTGGTGACTGAGTACAGAAATTCATACTTTGAGCCTGCTACACAAAAACACTCTCAAATCAGTTTAACTAAGATTTCATAAAAACAACCAGGTATATTTTACACTTATCAAGTGCCAACTTTTTTTCTGAGGGTTGAAAGTCCTCAGAGGTGATGGAGGTGATGGATAAGTGTATTGTGAATTTGCACTGTGTTTTGTGTATGGAACTTTCTTGGTATTAGTAGTCCAAAAATATTTTTACTACTTGTTGAATCTTCTGTCTTTTGGTAACTTTTGTGATAACAATGACCTTTCAGGGATACTTTATCTAAAAACAAACTCTTGTGCACACTAAATAACAGACAAAGCTAATGCAATTTTTCTGTCTGAAAGCAAAACAATGCATTATTGCATATGCATGTGGCTGATGTGCCTTAGGATCACTACTGGTGATTGTAATTCTAGGAAATTAGCATTTTTATCATTTGAATGGCCATTGCATAACTCTGATTTAAGGGCTCTTCAAGAGCACTGATTTTACAAAGAAACTCACCCTCATACTTCAGAAAAAAACAGCTGTATCTGCTATTTGTGAGCTTCTAGTTGCCTTCACTGATGGGTAAGTTTGAACGTAGGTGATGTAACTGATGTGGTGTCTCAGTTATTACAGTCTCATAACTGAAGTCCAGCTGCTCATGGACAGTGTTTTGCCATTAATTTGTGTGTGTGTGCGCGCACAAACTGTAAATATTTACTTGACTGCTGGTGATGTTTAAGGGGAAAGGAGAAAAATGGCTGTGGAAAGCTGTTTAAATCCTTCCAGCAACAAACTTGAAACACTAACCTGGATCAGTTGGGCAAGAGCTGTGTCAGTGCTTTCAACCTGTTGCCCTTGAACAGCTTCTCCTGTTCTGTTATAGCTAATATATAAATTCTGCTCTGGCTAGGATGTTTAGAGTTGTACTAATTTGCACTGTTTATAAGATAGTGAGATTAAAATGCCATAGGCAAGCTGAGACTTGAGAGGGGGTGGCTCAGGATGCTTGCCAAATATATATATATATATATATATAAAATGAGGATTTTTGATGTCTGCTACAAATAGCATATACTTCCCCAAAGCAATTGGAGTGGAGAAAAATCTCTTAAATACAATGTGTAACACGGCTTTAGAGTGTCGGTAGCATTGGAAATGCTCTCTTTGGGTGGCATTACTTCTGCCAGTCGTTTGTCTGCAGTTTTGTAAGTTATAACTAGTTTTATATGGTTAGACTTTGGTTGGTGATCAGCACTGAACTGTCCTGACTCACGGGTGGGTGTCAGTGCTGTCTCCTAGAGAGGGTGCAGTCGGTTGTTCCAGCACAGCTGATCCAGACAGGTCACCTCTGACCCTGGAGGGACGACAGAACAGGAGCTTTTGTGGGATGCCAGGAGGCACCTGGGCACAGGCTCGTCATGGCTTTAGTGCCCCAACTTCCACAACCTCAGTCTCGACCTCTCTTGGGACTTCTCTGCCCTCTCAAACTGGAATCATGATGTAGACACAGAGCTCCAACCCGCAATTCCTTACAGAGCTTCCTGGCAAACGTGGAGTTTGGAGGAGGCAGAGTCATCCTGCACCAGTTCCTCTGTGGGATCCTGGACTGTCTAATAAAGGGGCAGTTTAATACTGAGCAAGTTGTGAAACATACAGTGGATTTGTTTGCATAATGAGTCTTTCTGTAATCTACTGTGTTCTGATTTTAAATAAAATAGCATATCTCTTGGTGCCCTGTTCCTGTTGTGGCTTCATTTAATCAGGGTGCAGTTACTTACATTAATGATTTTCAGTCCTAATGATGTTTTTTCTGTAGCAACATAAACACAGTTGTAGGTGGATGTAGAACATAAAAATGACTTTAATTATTCATGGTAAATCTGTTGGCTGTGTTTTTAGTGACTGGATATAGCGAGCCCAGGGTGTGCTCAGAGAAGGTTCTGCACGTTGTAATCATGGCAACAAGGTAGGTGGCTTGTCAGCTAGAATCTCTTTGGTTTTGTTTTAATTTCCTACAGCTAGCTGGAATAGTGGGAATGTTCAGAATCTTCACTTGGAAAAGCAGAAGGAAGGGAGAGAGCTGCTTTTATTTGTTAAGAGAGGAAAACCTTAGATTTCAGCCAAGTTAGGAGAAATGAGTCAACCAAAGTTATTTAGGAATATGAGTCAGAGGGCAGAAAAGACCTGATGTAATTTTCTGTGATATCTGTCACTTCAACAGTGTGTGAAATAGAAATCCTGCTGCGGAATAACTGATTTTATAGGGAAGAAAATCCCTGTTTTAATTGTTTCTTGATGTATCCTGTTTGTAGTGGCTGCAGAGATTTGACAACCTTCTGCTGATGCAGAAATAGGAGAGTACAGATGAGGAAAACCTGCTGTGCTGACTCAGAGCAGGTGGGCGAGGGCAGGGGAAGGTGTTATGTAAAAGCTGCAGCTCTTCAGCTCAGCTCTTTGAAGAATTTGCACCAGCTCCACATGTGCCTGTTCCAAAACTGGGCTTTGGGTGGCCCTTCCCCAGGAGATTGTTCCACGTGGGATTGTTCCCAGTGCAAAGGAGAAGTCAGCTGGTAGGATCAGACCTTGCCAGGGAGGGGACTCAGAAGTCAGGTGGATCACAAAAAAGCAAAGTGCCACAAAAGAGACAGGTGTGTCAGTGACACAACGTGGTGCCTCATGTGACCTTGACTTGTCCCTTTCCCTGGAGCAGCTTTGAAGGCTGTGCAAGCCCACATAGATCCTTCCCCAGCCCTTGTTCCTGTAATTCGAGTCCTCTCTGGTTGTACATTAGTCATCCCTCACAGTGTCCAGATTTGCCTATTTACCTCTCTGAGACTTTGTCACTGGAAACAGGATGTGTTGCTTTGGGTTTTTTTGAGATTTTTGCCTTGACTGGAGTTTCAGAGACTCCTTGCTGAGCCCGTGCCCCTGGACATCTTGTCCCTGGCAGCCTGTGGTGAGCTCTCAACCTCACCCGAAGCCAAATCTCCATTTTCTCCCTACCTGCAGGATAAATCACAGGCTGCTGAGGCTGGAAACTTTCCAATGCAATACCTTGAACCCTGGATCCTGCTGGAAGCTGAAGGCTATTTTTAACACTGTGTATTATTTCCAACCTGCTCAAGGGTGGTTTTATTCTGCACTCCTGTAGGTGTTGACTAGGAATTCTTTTTTTCCATCAAAGCTAAAAAAAAAAATGTTTACTCTCACCATATATTGTAATCCCACACCTTGCTATATGCTCTTAAAGTTGCACATTATTCTAGCAACCACTGCTCAGGATGGGTTGATTTCTGAGAGATTCATTAGTCCTGAAGGAAGCTGGTCCCATCCCAGGAGAGATTAGAAGGGTGGGAGAGGATGGGAGGTGACAAAGTGGCTCCAGTTCTCAGCACTGGAATGAGATCACCTAGTTGAGGAGAAAATGCTGATTGTGGAGAAATGTGGAAATGTCCTTTGGCCTGGGGTGTATGTTGGT